TGAGCTTAGCTGGTCTTGGGGCTTGCCGGGCTTCAGCAGTGGTATCGTTGTTGCTCAACTCCAGGCGTCTGGCAGCGCAGCTGTCCTCCAGACTTTGTTCATGAGAGCTAACATCGCTGGGAGTGCCGACTCGTTGACGTTTCTCAGGGCCTGGTTGGTGACTCCATCCGGTCCTGGTGACGCGCGGTGTCTTGGAAGGGAATCAAGGACGTACTGCAGCTCGTGCAGAGTAAAGTCGGTGTCCGGTTGTTGCATCAGAGGTGCCGTGGTATGACGGAACTTGTCCCAATTCTCGGGGGGCGGCCCACTGTCGGTACCAGCGGAACTTTAGTGAAAGTATCCGCGAGGAGTTCTACCATGTCTGTTGGTCGGAGGTTCATGGCCACGGCCATTCCAAGGACTAGGTTTCGGGGAATCGGGCGGCCCGCCAGTCTTCTCGACATCCTCCGAGCCTGGCTTCCTCCGGATGGCCTGTCTAGAGTAATACACTTGAGACGCCATTGTCGGCACGCCAGTTTCTTTCTGTGTTTCCCAAATCTTGCATCCAGTCGCCTATAGGCCAGGATATCGTCCGGTTTTTCGGTGACCCATGACTTTCACTGGCCTCGCCGTCTTCTCACTCGGAGTTTAAGCCATTCGAGGTCAGGGTTAGGACGTGTTAATGGCACGCTGACTTCACGGGTGGGTTCTTTGAGGACGCGCGACAGTGTTTCTGAATTGAAAGGAAATTCCCCTTCAAGTGCTTCTCTAAGCAGTATCTTGTAGTGATCCCAGTCGACTATCTGGCAAGTCCTAAGGGGGACTTTCGGCGGTATTCCAATGACAATTGGAAGGTGATCACTCCCCCAGCTGTCCACCTGAGGGGTTGCACTGAGCCTCAGGGACTAAGTTGTGAAGGTGAGATCAATCACGCTTCCCGTCACTCCAGGGCGGATAAACGTCTGGCTCCCACTTGTGATGTTCCTCTGGTAAGTGCTTCAACGGTTGCCTGTAGCTCCCGTCCCCGTGGGGAGTCTTGCTTGTCCCCCCAAGACTGCGAGTGCGCATTGATGTCTCCGGCTAGTATCTGGTCTCCCTTGGCTCGAACTCGAATGTCCGCAAGTACATGGGTGTCCCAGGATGCGTTAGGGGCCACCTATGCCGAGACGATGGTGAGTGGACGTCTTCTCCATTCCACCGTCACCGCCACAAACTCCGCACTTTCAGTGCATAAATCATTGAGGTCCACCTCACTTTCTGGCAACTCTCGACGCACTAGTAGTGCTGCCCGCGGAAACCTTCTTGCCACATGTGGTTTGCTGGCATATACTACATGATCCGCAATGCGCATGTCGCCGGCTGACATTTTTGGTTCTTGGAGAGCTACTGCATTGTAAGCGTTGTCCAATAGGTGTTTGCGGAGCTCATGAGTCGCGTTCTCAATCCGTTACAGTTCCATTGAAAAACTGAGCAGGAGAGGGGTTGAAAATGCTTGGTGGTCCTCCTATTAATGTCTCCCATCGTGGATGAGCTGGTGTGGGCAGGCGAATGGTGGAAAATTGCTGTCCTGCAGCATTGAGACCTGTGATTCATACTGGTGTATGAGGTGTTTGTGCCTTAAATTATCTAATGAGAGCGTTTTACGAAGCGTATACCTTATAAATTTGTAGAGGGTTTGTGATGAACAGGGTTCGTTCCACTCTATTGCAACAGACTCAGCTTCATTGTGATCTGGATCATCTATTCGATGTCATTTAGCTTTCGAGTTACAGTGAAGAAAATATCTGTACTGACAAGTAAGGCTTTCTTGGAAACGCTCTAGCATAGCATTGCAATAATGGGTTCTAATGTGAGAACGGCTTTGATCACGTGATGAAGTGTTGATGTCTGTGACGTTGTGGCCAGTATCTTGCGAAGAGCAGTGAACATAAGTGGGATTATGTCTTTAAACACAGAGTCAGTCTTTTTTCCGCTTTTTTCGTTGGGTCCCGTCATGTGCACGTTAGATGTCTTATGTGAAGTGATATTTTTGATGTGTGGTTTGCCCCAAAACGAAGGTTTCCTAGAAGCTGGCACTGTAGTTGTTGCGGTAGGTTTAGCGGTGGCCAGATTTGCAGGCGTGCTCTCTACGCCTTCGAGAGGGGGAAAGTCTTCAGCAGTCAGAGGCAGAGTATTGTTGGCAGAGGCGCTAGATTCTTGTATGTTGTTTGAATCCGTTGTTTTGTTTGCCTGTCTTTTTGCATGCACAGCACTTTCTTCCTCACGAAATGTGGTGTTGTGCTCTAACTTGTACCTCGCTACTTCTGCCTCCCTTGCCCTCACTGGGCACTCAGGTGCGTTGGAGGAGTGATTTCCGTGACAGTTGGCGCAGCAAGGGTTGGCTTCGCACTTGTCTTTGTGGCATTGTCCACGCCAAGAACATAACTGGGTTTGTTCTGCGCTGGCAGCTGCGATATGGCCGAATTTGTGACACCCGTAGCACTGCAAGGGGCGTGCTCGGTAGGGAATTACTTCCGTTCTTAAAAGACCGACATTGACATGTTGAGGAGCTACTTTTGTTACGAACGACACTCGCACAACGGGTGATGCCTTGCCAAGGCGCATCACTTCCGTTATGGAGGCGGTTGACTGTAGTCGCGTTTTTATGTCGGTCTCTGTGCAGTCAGGGTCGATATCTCGAAGGACACCATAGCAATTAGTGCGGTCGCTAGGTAGAAAAGCACGCACCGGCAATGCGCATAGCTTGGTTAGCTTCAGGAGTTCGGCTTTGAGTGAAGGCTTTTTAACGTCAACCGCAGCGATATTACGAGCTTTGTTGATACGAACTACACTAACTATGTATGGTGTGACGTTGTCCAGGTAGTCAGTCAGTTTAAATTTGCTGAGCGATGCAACCTTGCTGGTGTTAGTTGGCATGTACAGTACGGTGAGTGCGACTTGTAGGTTGGTTTTCTCTTTAGAGTGCGATGCACAACTCTGGCTTGTCTTTCGTCTTTTCTTGACATGAACGACCTTGTAGTCGAAGTCGTTGGAGTGCAACTCGTCGTTAGTAGACACGATTGTCGATGAGGAACTGCTCATTGTTTTAGCGGTGCAGTGTATGGGTGGAATCTCATAGCCCTCTTTGATGATCGTCCTTGTGCTTGCCTGAGCTTCATCCATGTCGACGGACATGGGAGCGTTCGATGACTTAATGTCCGAGGTAATATGTGTCAATGTCCTGACCTCCCTTCAGGAGGTCTTTTGCGGACGAAGATTCTATGTCGTTCTGTTAGTTGCACACCGCCGAATGTACTGTTTAAACACGCAATTTATTGGCTACGTAAGGAAAATTCACAGACACGAAAAGGGTTACCAGCAGCACTGTCCTCGTCGTGTTCTTTCCTTCGCCACTTCGCGCCTCCCGATGTCACCACCGCGGAACAAACGCGCCAACAGGCGTCAACATTTTTTTTAAGCTAATGTTCGCCTTCTTCTTCGTTGGGAAATATTGCCACCCGCGTCTCCAAGCGAGCGCGTGTGCGTGGCCGAATGTTTACTGTGGTGGGCTGTCGCGCGGAGTTTCTAGGTTCGATTCCAAGGAGCGGAATGTTCTTTTATTTAATATTTTCTTTAATTTAGCGTTCTTGTAAGTTAGAAATCATTGCGCGACGAAGTTGCGAATGTTCTACGAACCAAAAGTTCTACGCCGAATGTTTTAGAAAATCAGAAGGTTACAAAAGCGTGTGGCGAGCCGGAGTCAGTCTCGCTCTAGCGCTCGATCGTACTGCTTTGCCGGCCGATCTTTGACGCCTGCGACACTAACTCTTTGTATATTCGTTTTCGGCACAAGTTCGCCGAAGTAAACGTTTAGTTTCTGAACATTCGTCGACTCATCTTCTGTCGGTCGGGACAGTTTGGGGGATCTGCGGGGTAAAGATTGCCCATCTTCAACACCCCTCCGGGGAGTCGTCAAACGAGTCCTATACCTAGACCGGCCAGAAGACCAATCTTCGAATTACCCAAAAATCAAAGAAGCCGTCGAATCCAGATATCCTCCGCACTTTAGTCAACTGCCAGAACCATCCAATAAAACCCAGTCGCCCATGAACAGCCAGTCCTCGCAAACTCCGGTAACCTCTTCCTTGTTTTCCTGCCTGTCGCTACACATACACCGACACCCTTCAATGGCGACGTTTATGAACATGTAGAAGATTGGCTTGATCACGGCGAACGCGGGGCACGGCACAACTGATGGACAGCTTAACAGTGCCTGCAAAACGTCAAATTTTTCTTAAAGTAAACTGGAAGAAGCTAGTTTAAAGAGCAACTCCGGCCAAAACTCAAAATAAAATAAATTACTGGTATTGCTGTAGCGACACAAAATACGACCCCACCCAAAATATTACGTCCAGGGGACACCTCATTCTCAACTAACGCCGATAAAAAAAAAATGCGACCCGCCGCGAGCCACAGTTCCTTAGCGGACGGACAGCGGGTTGCTGATCGCTAAAGCAACATTGGGCCGTGACGTCAGTATCATTCTGATTTTTTTTTTCTGGTCCGGGCGTTGCGCGGAGTGCGCTTTCTTGAACCGCTACCACCGCTACTTCGGCTTGTGATTGGTGTGTTTATTCGTTGCTTTTATTTGTAGCCCGTGTAGCTTCGGTATAGCCTTTTGTTTATGTGCGTGTGAGGACTCCATGACTTGTTTTAGCGAAAAACTCGGTGCGCCCAAGATTGCCCAGCTGGTCCTCGAATGATGCCGAGTACAACTTGTAGCGCTGTGGGCTGCTCAAACAACCCGCTGCGCAATCCGGAGGTACTTTTGCACAAATTTCAAACAGACCGAAAATTGGAGAAGGTTCAAGATTCAAGGTGTTTACTGGCACAACTTCCACACAGCCGAGTGCCTGAGGCAGCCAAAAGGCAGAAACCCGTACAACCAAGTGCTGGCTGCCTCCTCGGCTGTGTGTTAACAGGTGAAATGATGATGATGAATGTAGAAATCAAAGGGAGGAAAAAATGGTAGGTGCACAAAGTTATTGAGCTCGGAGGGCACGCGACACAGTCCTGCTGAAGTCGCGGAGTTCGTCCCCAGTCCCCGGCAGGGGCTGGCGCGTGCGCTCAGGTAATGACATGTATGAGCTCACCGCGGCGGGGAACAATGAAGCTTCCTGTCGCCGGGTGCGGGCGCGGAGAGGGATAGGACAGCTTGTCCGGCTAGAGATACGGGGAACTGATGCTAGGTAGGAGCCGGCCAGCGAAGGGCCAGCGGCAACTGCAACAAGTCGGAGACGCGCCACTGTTCGTCGGTGGCTCAGGCGGTGCCAGCCAAGAGACCGCAGGCGTCCATCGTAGTCAGAAAAATGGTCGTGGCGGGACAAGGTTCGAGTCGCGCCGCGCTGCACATATTCTAGGCGCTCAGTGAGGTGTATCTGATGAGGGCTCCATATTGAAGAACAGTACTGCAGTCGAGGAAGTACCAGAGCCGTATACAGTGTTTTCAGGGTCTCCCGTCCAAAACGCCGGAAAAATCGAGACGCCAATCCCAGTACCCTGCGAGACCTGCTCACCACTTTAGCCACATTGCAGCTGAAATCGAGTGAGGGCGTGAATGATACACCCAAGATGTTGAGCTCCTGTACAGGTGGAAGAGGGAGCCTTCCAAGCATGTAGCGTGGCGTCTGGACCTTCCTGGCCGAACTGAACCGCATCACGGCACACTTGTCGTGGCTGACACGGAGATGGTTAGTGGCACACCAGACAGCCAGCTTGTCCAGGTGAGCTTGAATGGCGGCAAGATCATCGGAGGAGCGTATGCACATCGCCAAAGTAGTGTCGTCGGCGTATTGGATGGTGAGGAGCATGTCGGACTGGCGGAATGTCACGAGCATACACATTTAAGAGTGTTGGGCCAAGAACGGACCCTTGAGGGGCACCCGAGGGAGCTGAAAGGGTATGCGATACAGCACCCTTGTGCCTTACGGGAAAACTGCGATCAGCGAGGGACACATCAATCCAATGCAACAAGCTACCTCCTACCGCGCAATCCGACAACTTCCTACTAAGCCAGTCGTGGCCCAGCGTGTCAAAAGCGCTGCTGTAGTCCAGCTGGACCACGTCGGTGGGAAGGAAGCCGTCCATATTGTCACTAACGTAGTGAGACACAGTTGCTAGGGCGGTCTCGCAAGAGTGAGAACGTCGGAACCCCTGCTGGGATAGTGGAAGGAGCTTGAGGCGCTCCAAGTGGTTTAGAAGATGGCTGCCCTACTGAAAAAAACCATTTGGCGCCTATATAATAATAAGCGGGTTCATACCGGTAACAGTTTAACCATACCGGTCACCAGTTTGTCAAAGGGGTCGCCCGTATGGCTCAAAGGGGTCTCCCGTATGAGCCATAACGGTCACCTATTTGGACAAACAGGTCACTCCTTTGTCAAACGGGTCGCTAGTCTGGGCAAATGGGTCGCTCGTCTGGGCAAATGGGCGACTCGTTTGGGCAAAGTTGTCGCATGTTTGCTCAAACCGGTGACCATGTTGCAAACTGTACCGGTTTAATCAAACGGCTCTCCGGAGCCCGTTTGATACTGAACGTACAGATCGGCGGCGTGGGCACGCCTAGCGTTTCATCTGTGGCAGCCAATGTTTCCGCAAGGCCGGGAGCGCCGGTTCATCGATTTTAGATCGTCCGCGTAATGCAAGTAATTTTATTTATATTTTAAGTGCGCTGACGTGCGCTTATGCTGCAACTAAAACTAACACCTTTTTGGTTGTTGTTTTGCGTAAACGCGCGGCGTTGGTGAGCCGATATTTTTGACAGAACTTTAAAACTTTGTCCATCTTTGTTGCCTCAATCTACTTATTCAGCTCGAATCTCTCTCGCAGAATACGCGACCGCGTGAAAGAATGTACGTCTAGACTCCGTTTCACATTAATTCAAGACGCAGCGAATGTAGCACGCGTACATGCGGCTGCAAGAACATCGAGCATTGCGAGAGCGCGCCCGCCGTTGCAGCAGTCAAACTACGAGCTCGCGCTGAGTACTTTCTTCGCTCGGGCGCAAGCCGAGCTTCTGGCCGCCCCGCCGCCATTTCCAAGGTTCGAGCGTGCTAAAATGTGCGCGCGCGTGTTTTGTTTTTTCGAGGTTACAAAAACACATCTCACTGGAATGCCTGGGGAGAGGGAGCGGGGCCGTCCTTGTGGTCCTGGCCCCCTCCCTCCTCTCTTGTCACCCGTCACGTGACCCGCTGCCGCGCGCGAGCTACACGCTGATAAGCATCGAGATCCGGAAGGGTGCGCCCAGCAGCCGCTTTTTTCTTTGTCTGCTTGTTGTCAAATCCAGCTCGAACTTCGCGCGTCCCTGCGGTTTTATTAGGATGTCTCTCGACAGCGTATTGGATGTGCACCAAAGCTATCAGTGTTCGAAAAGTCCTACGTCTATATCGGCAACAAGCGAATCTTCAAAGAAATCAGGAATTCTCGCGGTTTGGTTGGGTTCGGCAACTGACAGCTTGTGCGCCACATCGTGTTGAAACTTCCAAGAAGCCGTTCCCTCTCATTTGTGTTTGTGTGGTTGTCCTGCTTTGACCGTGTCGACAAATATCACGGATTACATATTTCAAGTCCGCTATTTTTATGATAAGTGCACTGCAACCTACTTCTTGGCAACGATTGACCATTCTTCTACTCGTACTCTTCCAGATTATCTACATAATTATGCAGCCACTGTTCTCGCGGCAGCCGGGCAAATAATTTCCCGAAAGTCTACCTTTATAGTCTAGAATTACCTCGGTTCTTGTTTGCTTTGCTATCTTCTCGGTTGTATAAAAGCTTAGAGTGCCTCTCACATTTCACAGATCGCTTGCACGTTTGTACTTGTCTACAGAAGACGTAATAAGCTTTGAGGAGAATTGAAAACAATATTTTGTGTATTTTCCTGTCCATTTGCAAGCACCTACGTGAGCACATTTGTTCTACGTGTTTCCTTCGCGTTATAAATAGGTTTATGGGTTTCGGAACGTCTTATATAAGTTTAAGATATCCAAACTACCAGACGATCCCCGTTTAGGGCTAGCGCATAATTTCCCGATTCGAATGGCACGTTCAAACGTGTGGTCACGTGCAAGGTCGAACGGGCACCTGTATCAAACGGGCACCCGTTTCAAACGGGCACCTGTATCAAATGGGTACCGTTTCGAGGGGGTACCGTTTCAAACGCCTACCCGTATTCCATAATCACGTTTGATCCAAACGGGTCGACAAGTTTGCACCCGTTTGATTTACCAGTTTGCCACCCGTTTGAATTTCAAATGGTTTTTTCAGTAGGGTGTTGATGATTCCCTCCAGGGTAAGGCACAGGATAGATGTGATGGAAACTGGACGGTAACTGGATGGGTCGCTCGGTGACTTGCGGGTGACCTTTAAAGACAGGAGTGACCGGGCCTGTCGCCAACAATCCGGCAGGACAGAGTTGTCCAAAAGAGAATGTTAGGTAGCTAGACGAGATGGAAGAACGTAGGGTTGGATCATCTTGAGGAAGGTGGGAGGAATACCGTCGGAACCCGTGGAAGAGGAAGGTTTGATGCAGCGGAGGGCCTCCTCGAGGTCTGATGAATGAGAGAGAGAGATGAGAGGTCATCAGGGTTGGACGACAAGTTAATATCCGCGCCATGGCAGGAAAGTATGGAAGGTGTAGAAGCAGGTGTGAATGCTGAGGCGAACTGGCTACCAAACAAGTCGGCAATCTCCCTACGTAAGGAGACTATCCTGCCATTGGACGTGAAGATCAGCTCCTGTCACGTAGTTTGTGACTGGCTGACATAGGACCGGAACGCTTTTGGTTCCTTCTGCGCTCGGAAAGCAATCGTGTTAGCAAATGCAGTCTCAGCAGAGTTTAAGTCGGCCTTCAGGGAGCGCTGGAGTGTCTTTGTCGCAAAAGTGTCTCAGCGCACTGCAGGCGCGCCGCACGCTTGAAGAGTGCCCGCTTCTTCTTAGCAGAGCGAATATGTTCTTTTGTGATCCATGGGGTTCGAGATTGTCCCCGGCGAGAAACAACACAAGGTACGCACTCCTTCTGGATCGCACACACATAGTCGCACCAAAGGTCCATGTTCTCCAGGCAGTCGTTGCCCATAGTTGTCATGCACCATGGGGTGAGATGAGACAACCTAGCCATGTGCTCCCTATCAGTCCAGTGAAACTTCCATACTGCGGGAGCGAAGTGGCCCTTGCGGGGAAGTGCCATGGCATATGCGAGTTCGATGGCCAGGTGGTCACTTCCGGAGAGGCCAGGGTAAAAATCGCAGGAAAGGCTTTGAGTTGGATGAGAAAAAAACACAAGGTCGAGGAAACTGGAGGATGGGATATAGGTGGGGGAGCGGCGGATCTGGGAAAGCCAAAATGTCGACACCAGGCCCAGAAGAGTGTCGTCAGCCGCATCAGAAGGGATGGGAGTATCGGTGCCCCACCAGTCGATATGGCTGTTGAAGACACCGAACAGCAGTACTTCGCGATAAGGCTCTGCTGGCACTTTGGTCAGCGATTCATCGAGGAGCTCGTACGCAGTAGCCCTGGTGGACGGCGGGCGATAAGCTAGGACTAGGACGGAGCTGCCTTTTGGGTGGCGGAGTTCCAGAGAGACGGCCTCCAACTCCGGGTGCTCCAGGGCATACCTCCTGACTGCCGGGAGGCTGGACAGCACGGCAATGAGCACGCCACCACCGTGGGATGGACAGTCACGACGATGGACGTAAAGGAGGCCTGGCCGAAAAGCTCGGCGTCACAAACACCAGCGTCCAGCCACGTTTCTGTAAGGAGAATGACAGTGCTGCCGGCGAGGGCTGAGAAGGCGAGCTTGAGGTCTGACAACTTTTTATTCAAACTCCGGCAGCTAGCGTACCAGAACGTGACCGTCTTGTTGAACGGATTGCTCGGCTTGAGGGGCGGTGATGCGTCAGGGACGCCCGGCGCGGTGGGAGATGGAGAGTGAGGGGCAGCCAGCACCTTGAAGAAGTCGTCTGCGAGCGGTGGCAGCGAGCAGACTAGGCAAAACCATGGGTCGCTTCCTTTGCCTATCTTACGGTATTCTCCTAATGACATATAAACGCAACCGCGATGAAACCAGCCATCGCACGAGTCGATTGTCTCGCACTCGCTTTGTGGAGCTCGCACAGGGAGGATGCTGCGGCCCAGGGTTTGTTGCGATGTCGCCGGCCAGTAGAAGAACACAGACGGTCCGAAGGTCAAGGCGGTGTCCCGTGATGCCGGCCGGAGACAGTCGGCGGTGCAGTTGGGAGATGCGCCGGTGTTCCGTCGCCGTTGTCGAGCTAGGCGTAGCAGGTGTATATGGACCGACGGCCGCCCATGCGGAAAAGCTCGGGGGAAAGGGGCTGGTAAAGTCCCTCTATACTGGAAAAGTAGCGACAACCTTTGATCAGGCCGCCGAGCTCAGCGGTAGGCCGGTGTGTGGCACGTGACCTTCTCCTAGCGCTCCGCCCCTTTGGCAGCCATGAAGGATCCAGCCAGCAAATTTTCCCGTGCCTCGTGTGTCTCGTCACCAGCTGCGCCGCAAGCTACGCCGGACTCGCGTTGCGTCGGACAGATCCGGACGTGCTCAGATGTTCATGCCAGTTTTGCTGTTGTCGTTGGTCGTGTAGCTTTTCGTTTCATTTTGTGGCTGGATGTCCGTTTCGCGTTTCGCCACGGATTGCGTTGTCGAACGGCCGATATGCCTGGTTGCTGTGCCGTGAACTGCTGCACGCGAACAGGTCATGGCACGTGACCATGGAGAAGAGAGTGAATGTGAATCACACCGGCGAGTTCTTGATATGCGGTTTTTGGGTGGAGAGTATGAATTTTGAGTCACCAATTGTGTTCTGGGTAGTTGAGCTCTCATATGTCA